TTCAGTTTTTTTCATACGGTACGTTTTTAATAACGATAAAAAAAATAACCATAAAAAGTTATTTGTCCATCCTGGATGGACGAGAACACTTTATTTTTTACCATGACTCAGACAGCAAGCAAATGCTGAAAAAATACATACATTGTTAGTGCATATATGTCTCGACTTATTAGCATCGATTGAACTTAACATGGGTCTGGCCTGAATATACCGAAAATAAGTTGAAACGTCAAAGTCCCCACGTCATAATAGTAGGATGATCGGTTGCAGGCAATGGGAAATATGGCCATAATGTTCGTTTCCATTACCCTTTCAACGGTAAACCAACATGTTTCTTCGAAGCTGGAAGATATATGATATGATCCAATTGCAGTGAGTTAAATTGTCTTATCAACATGCGGCAAACATCAAAGGAATACAGGTGCAATAATGCCTTATTGTTTTATTCTGAACTTCTTCAAACCTTTGCAACAGATGCTGGATGTGGATAAAGTGCCGATATCGGCTATAAACAATATAATAACAGTTTGGATGACTTTTAAAAAAGCATTATGTAAGAGCTACATCTGCCTATTGCAGGTCTTTGTTTGTCTCCAAATGTTATATAAATTATTATTTAGACATTTGTTTACTTGACAAGCATATAATCATGTCTTTGGCTCGTCAATGAATTAGAACATCAGCGGCATTTAATTATTCAACTTTAAAACAGATAATCGGGACTATTTTGGCTAAATCTTGTCAAAACTTCCAATATTCACATCTTGCTCTGAATAAATTAATTGGACTGAAAATTTCAATATATTCATTTTTCATTATGAATTTTTGAACTATTATACAATAGAACGACCAGATATTTAGCTAAATCTTACATAATGCATCTTTAACTATCAGCCATTACATATTGGACGATCAATAATACGTGATAATTATAACCTTTCTCACATACACATACCTTTTGAAGTAGGTAGCAATAGGTTTGAGATGAAATTTATAGAAATAGTTTTAGGAACTCATAGTTGAGGCCGCTGTGTACACGGGACCTCGGCGTTTCGTATTAAGAGGCGTGGTTTCGATTCCCCGCTTGTGGGCCCTACGTGACAATAGGATCGCCTGTCCAACCTCGTGGGTTTTATCCGGGTCCCCCATCTCCCTCTCTCTCAGTGCCTTACTAACTGAGCCACCGCGGCTCCCACGTGACATGGAATCCATATTTCAATGACTGGGCGTCTTTAAGCCGAAAAAGCTAGGCGAATATTCATTCAATACAGGTCATCGTCCAGTTTCAGACATATGATAAAATCTTCCATTGATTATTCATAATCACGTCTGCTAGATTGTTTCCCATTTAGATGTCTTTGAACTAGCAATTGCGGTTGATGTTTTTTAAAACTAGGGTGATAAGACAATAAACTATTATTCAATCGGTAAGTAAATAGACAGACGTATTTTAATGTACCTCAAATATACATCAATATACATGAATTAAAACCTGATGTGTTATTATATATAACGAGAAAATCAGAAAGATTTGGCACCACGCGATAAATATATATCTCTTAAAGGGTTTCAATTAACTTTTCGCGTGTTGGAGTTAATATATATTTATAAGGACGATATATTATTTCCATTCCACCTTCCGTAGATAATAATTTGACAAATGAAAAGGCTATAATAGTATTAGTGATCTGAAATTGGTATTCATCAATAAAGATTCCTTTTAAATTATCACCTAAATGGATTTAGATATATTTTTATACGCCCACTGCACTGATGCGTAATATATGTAATGTGTTATTTTCCGGATGGTCACTCCATTAAGATTGCAATAGATGTTTAAGAGAAACACGTGTTGTAACGATTGCGGTTGCATAATTATACACTTGACCTTCATTATTCCGGATAGACAGGACCTTTTAAACGATGCTGTGTAGTTTTTTATGGGTATTAATTGGTTGGTTGATCATGAGTATTCGACTAATCACAAAATGTGTAATCCCGAAAGTCTCAAAGAAGGATATATTTTCGTCTGGCCAAGATTGGGTAAACAGCCAAAAAATAAAACTGAAGTAAATGTCGACATGATTTAGATTAAACTGAATTGGGTGTATTTTTTTTTTATCAAATATTAAATTGGAGACAATCTGTATGAACACTTCAGGCCATTAAGCTGCTCGTGAGCGTAATTTTGGTTGTTTGACAACCTATCTTTATATCACAGCGACATTTACATTCTGTGGTTACTTGCAAAATGAACACCTACGCGTAAATCTATTATTTGTAGACAGTGGGTGGTCCGTTATTTGAACAAAAATGACGCGAGGGATCAAATTGTTGGAAATATTCACAATTTTATTCCCAAATTGATCATTTCTATGTGATTTGGTAAATATGTTGTCGATGAATTGCTTTTTTCAGACTTCTGAAATTAATTTGTACCCTTCAATATGCACGGACAGGGAGTGTGTGAGTGTTGGGGGGGGGGGGCGGGGGGGGGGGCACATCTTCTCAATAACCACTTTTGAAATTCAGCCGAATTTGGTAGATATTTCGCCTGTGTAGTTTGTATTCAGATTTGTTCAAGCTTCAAATGAAATTGGTTGTGCATCATGGGTGTAATTTGGGGGTAACTGGGTTCCCAGAAAAGTATTTATCGGGTGGTTATTTTCCAATAAAAGTATCGTAATTTTGGTAGATATGGAAGTAGAGATATCCAATCTTACTAGAAAAATACAGGATTCCCCGAAAAACACTCATGGAGCGTAGACAGGACAAAAATGTAAGGGTTCCCCTAATCAACAGCCCGACGATTAGGAATTTCTGCACGCGTGATGTCAAAGGTCACACGCGAACATTGAGCGCTTGATGTACAAGTTGATAAACTTTATGAAGAGTTAGACGTACAACACTTTCTGAGATAAAAATGACGGAAAAAGACGCGGGTAGTGGATAATCCGAGAATTTAATTAGAATTCGATATTTGTTATAAATAGTAAGCGATTAAAGGCAACATCGTCTTATGTATGCAATGAATTCTCCTCTGACTTCCAAGAGAGGTAAGTCACGTGACGTAAACATGACCTGGTTTGATTGAATTTTTATAGCAGGGCATTCCTTCGCAATTACAATGTTTGAGAAGGATTTGAAGCAAAGTTATGACAAATTAATTAGTTTGAATATGTTTTAGTCCATATATACCGTTAAATCACCCAGTTTGTACGCGGGAACCCATCTTTAAAGGGAATCTTTAGACACTTTCAATTTCTTTATCGAAAATGGGTTGATGTCATACAGATTTGTTACTTGGATGGTGCTTATTGGAGTTGTTTCAACAAAGATAACCCGTTCTATACAAGTAAGGCCGAGACACCATAAAGATAATTTTGATATTTGGATGAGCTTTGATGGAATATTTGTTTTAAAATATCTGATCAAAATATGTTATGCAATAAAATTGGTTGGCCCTAATAAGGAGAAAATCGAGACATTGTCATAAAGCGAAATCATTAAAGATGCATTATGTAAGATTTAGATAAAGAGCTGACCGGTGATATAATAATAGTTCAAAAATAGATAATGAAAAATGAATTTATTGAAAATTCAATTCAAATTACTTTATACTGAAAGAAGTTATGACTGATTGAACATGCAGCGTAGATTGTTTATTACCGTAGCAACGGTACTTGAAAATCGAGTCTAAGTCTCGATATTCCATTTTATAGTTAAACAATTTTAAATCTTGTGGATTTATTTTAATCCATTTAAATTTCAGACAGCCGGTGATCTAAAGGGGTGTTTATAGGTCTGTCATTTGAAGTCAAATGCATCTTTAAAGGAGCTAAATCGCTAATATGTGGGTCACAATAATAATGTAATATGAATGTATGTAAACTGATTTACATTCAATCGTTCCGTTTTTACTCTAATTTCAGAAGTCTCAATTTATAGCGTCTGGATATTCCAGTCTACATCAGGGGTATTTGTTGCGCATGTTCTCCAGATAAGAATATGACGTCATCGTTTGACTTGACTTGTGGAACATGTCTAGCCTCGTTCTTCGAGTCACTTTCTACAGATGGCGCTGAAACGCATTATGGTATATGATTTGTGTAGCAATGGTAAAATGTTTATTTTGTCTTAAATATTCGATATCAGAAGACCATCTTTTCCCGGCAATATCATAACATCAATGTTGATTAAAATTGACAAATAATTCGTGTTTTTGATGACGAAGACTTTGGATGATATTGAGTTACAGACTTAGCTACTTTAATATGATTGGGGGCGAGGATCCGAATGATTAATGTGTGCGCTTCTGATCTTAAGCTCTGTTATTGAGTCAAGTGGTGTGGTCTCGATTACCCGCTTTTATGTGTCAAGAAGTAGGGCCTGGCCTACCTCGTGGGTTTTCTCCGGGTCCTCCGGTTTCCTCCCACTGCTAAAAGCCCTACGCGCAAGCGAATTATTAAAAAACAAAAATTGAATCATGTGTTAGTCCCGAAATGACCTAGTTTGTGTCGGGTGGGTGTTAAAACTCTCTTCCACTCCCCCCCCCCCCGCTATATATCCCCTTCGATATTGATTTACATATTTTTAAACATTTGATGACGATCTCTACCTTTCGGACTTAGTTACTTTAATATGATGGATGTGGGGGGGGGGGGGGTCCGAATGATTAATGTTTGCGCTTCAGATCTTAAGGTCTGTCATTGGGTCAAGTGGCGTGGTCCCGATTAGCCGCTTTTATGTGATAAGGAGTAGGGCCTGTCCAACCTCGTGGGTTTTCTCCGGGTCGTCCGGTTTCCCCCCACTGCTAAAGACCCCAACGCGCAAGGGAATTATTGAAATAAAATTGTACCATATGTTAGTCCCGAACCTAGTTTGTGTAGAGTGGACGTTAAACCCCATTTCTCTCTATCAACCCACTGATAGAAACATAAGCTCGGTTTTGCTCTTGTTTGCTAATGTCCCACCAATCAACAGACAAAGAACAATTAAAGAACATTTAAATATATATTTATATACGAATATTTTAGTAGCGACGAATAACAAACAATAAAACAATTTTCACTGGGATAATCAATTCAACTTATAATTTGCAAATCATTAACAATTCAATACATTTCCGTCCTCGGATTTAACTTTTGTTTACAGTACAAGAGAAAATATAACGTTTCTTATATTCAATATCATAATATCACAATAAGCCTATATAACATCACTTTTCAACTAATGACAATACTCTCTTAACTGATAATTACTATAAGATTGTGTTTATAGGTATCCACCGGAAGTAGTTTGAAAAGTACCACTTCTACTTACGATAACAATCATATTAACAATTCATAAATTTAACCAATAGTGCGAGTTACTTAAAAAAGAAATTATATCAATATTCCGTTCCGTATTACTTTCTTGCTCTTTATTCTACTTTATTTTTCGTCTGAAGACAATTTATTTCAAAATAGAGCGAGTTCATTTATGCGCTTATCCTAAGTGGTCATGTACACATCAAAACCCGTGATACGGAGAATTACGTGTAAACTTTTGATGGATTTTTGATTGTAAATACGTTTGTTTGGTTGTCACCATTGGCCAAGGATTCGCTTTTCTTGGACACCAACCGAAAATAAATGGAAAGAAAATGACACATAGGTTTGCTAAGAGTGGTGTATATCATTCAAATCTAATAAATATTTCCCACTTTCTAAACCAGTAAAAAATATTTTAAAACTGTTTAAGTATACAATAAATAACTACGCCCGGATCAGTTGTCATATGCGTTCGCCTACGTTATATAATATTGTTACAAGCCAATGAGTGGTTCGAAACCATTGTCGACCAATCACCATCGAGAAATAAAGTTAGCCCGCACTTGTGTTTAAGACAGTGTTTCGCTTATACTAAACTTAGGCTGCCTGTCCACAGTTAGCTTTCATTTAATAAAATTGGAAAGGTTTAATTAGTCTTTTTGGGTATAACAGATGTGAACCGGAGCAGGACCGCATTATAATACAGTATACTAATTGTTAGATGGGGGCCATTTAGAACAGAGATCTATTCTCGAAGTATGAAGTAGATGGATCTCTGTGTGCAGAATGTGTTTCCATAACTATCGGGTAGGTAGGTTATTGCATGATGACAACTGTTCGTTAAAAGGTATTGTTAATACAGGCTTTTTCATAGCTATAATCATACATATTTTGAATTTGTGAAATTTACAATAATCTTTTATTGTAAAAATATGTTATAACTGCCACGATTTCAAAAATATAACTCAGCAGTAAATTAACACCTTTGATATGCTGTCTTTTAAAATCTATTTATTTGGACAAACATGCATCGTGCCAGTAAATACTGTTCATGACTGACATACATTTAATATACATTAATATATCCATGTTTATGAGATTTATTATTTTTTGTTTACATTCGGTATTATAACCAACCCGAAACCCCTACTTTTGGTATCACAATGAAGGTTTTCATTTCAACAAATGACATGGACCTACTAACAGAATATAAATCATCTGATTATCAGACTCTGATACTACAAACTTCATTAACGCCCCAAACCCAACGCACCTAGATTCAGTAAAGGCATGGCACAGATTATGTCGTAAAATAATATTAAAAGCGCACACAATTTACTGTATATAAAAGATATGAATACTTTAATTGACTTTTTTTTTTTCTTTTTTTTAGTCACATCGGATAGACCGCCCTTCAACTTCAGCCAGCCATCGAAACCAACTTACCCGACTTAATAACCCGCTAAAATAACGGAAAACCCCGTATATAAATTAGTTGAATATTATATAATTATACGAGACAAACCGTTTTAAAAACCTACACATTCGACATTTTTAAAAAGCTTACTCAAATCCATGGACATACGCCATGCGCATGATGTACCGATTTAAAATATAAATTATAGAAATGATTCCACTTTGACGCTCACCTAAACAAATGATAATGTATCCGTGGTCTCGGCTACAGAAAATAAAGATAGGTTGCCACGCATCGAAACATACACCCACAGCAGCTAAATCGTTCCAGCAATCGACAAGGGTTGTCGCATATTCTTTTGTAGGTAATTTGAGCATCTACACGATACTGATATCAATTTTATACAGATCGTTTTACTAATCTACATAATGCATATAAATCTAATACAAATTGGATGACAAGTTTTGCCTTTAGAGCGTTCACAAGGCGTTGACAATGTGAAACAAGCTCATATCTCTAGAAGTAATGAAATGATATTGCTGAACAAAGGGGATGAACAAAGTGAAACAAGGATCATAAATCGAGAAGTATGAACAGAAATTCAATGGGATTCTACGTTTTACTAATCTAGGTAATGGGAGCATTTAAACGACACTGATATCAGATTCATACAAATCGAATGATAACTTTTTGTCGTTAGAGCATTCATGGGGTTTAACAAAGTGAAACAAGGACCATAACTCTAGTAGTTATGATATCAAATTGCTGACATTAGTTATGCCTCTTCGTTTTACTAATTTAAATAATGCACGCACATTTAATATAGATAGGATGGTAACTTTAGTCGATGGAGCGTTCACGAGCTTCTACAACTAGGACCATAACTCTAGAAATAATTAACGGAAATTTTTCAAATTAAATGGCATTCTTCGTCTCATTAATGTAACATATATAAATTTTAAAACGATCAGATAATAAATGTAGCCTGTATAGTGTGGACGACGGACAGACGGACGGACAAAGGCGATGGCAATATACGACCACATTTCCATATGGGCTTATACAAATTACTCTATATAAGGACTAGGTGTTCACGTATAGATGTGGCGCGAGATAAACCTGACTGGGATCACTATAATACCATTCTATATCTCGTCTAAAGCAAATATACATAAATGACGTAATGTCCGTTATGCAGGCGCGTTACAATTAAAACATTTAACAACAAAGTCTGTATTACAGCATTAGCCATTACTATAAATAAAATCACGTTTAAAACATCCCATGGATTTACATTTCTCCGTCTACCAAAACAGAATTCACATTTGGCGACAATTCCATTAAGGACACAAAGAAAGCTCTGGATAGTCGCGACTAGGATACATTTTTAAAAATAAAGCCCACAACAATAGACTAGCATATAATTAACATTAGACTAGAACATTTTATATTGGTATCATAGCCTAATAAATTCGAGATCCTCACACTGTCAAAGAAGATTACTTACTTTGTGTTACAACATTCGAGGGATATCCCTACGGTTTTATGTTCACAGGACGTAAGTGGCTTGCGTTAGAGACAAAAACATCCATCATGTCACAACGATGTTGTCGGACTCATTTTTCATACATACTTTGACTTGCGACGTTTTTATTTGTTTAAATCATATATAGGTGTGTACCATTATTCTCATATGACGATATTCAAACGCTAACTGGCCTGGCCACTCTTAACGGTCCATAACAATAAACTTAACAAGACTTATCCTTAGATGGAATAATATATCACATCTAATATCACAAAAAAAAACCATACAAAATACAGAGTTTCTTCGCACCTATTTGATTTGGGTCGAACATAACACTGAATTTGTATGTCCGTTTGTTTTGTGGTATGCTAATCTCTCTTCATTAAAAATTGTACGTCCACAGACATAGCTAGTGTTGCGAGATACAGTAAGCCCAACTTGGTAAACACGCCGCTTAGTCTTTCAATACAAACTTTTCAGCTTTCGTTTAATCGAAACAGTCAATCCATTTTAATACTTTATTTTTACTAAATCAAAGCGATCTAGTCTCTTTAACTTTAGTTGATGTTTAATTATCAGTTTAGGTTTCGACTGTCGACATAATTCCAAGCACACATAACACAAACGCTTTAGTTATAACCGCACTTCATTTCTGTTTTCAAGATCACCATTCAATTTAAGTGTGCCACAAACTTTAAAACAGAATGTCTATACACGCTAAAAGAAGGTTGCAGAAATCCATGTGCGTTCGGGGTCTAGACAGTCGTTCTCCATGGGGTAGACATTGCTCCTTGGATTTATCAAGACTGACAGCTGAACTTTGATGTTGTTGTATATATGTATCCCCTCCTTGTGTGCCGGGTCCAGGAAACAGCAAAATCTATTAACGACGTTTAGAATCATAACTAATGTTTGAAAATATTAATAGCTTGATGGTATTAAAGAGAAAAAAAAATTACAAAAATGTTCATCAATAGCTCCAGCAGCCAAGCGATAACAAGCACACATAATTTATTTCCGTAAATACGAACTTTGTTTATCTCGAATACAATGTCATGGACATTTCCATTTCGACATAGCGGGATTGTACTGTTGTTATTAATTAAGTTCGAGATCACTTTTACTTTCCGTCTACTGATTATAATAATTCTTTTCAAGTGTCAATCGGGACTGTACTTTTCACCGTAGTCATACTTGGAATGTGGCTATACGACATTCGCATGGTCAAGAAACGACATGACGTTTTGTTGTAGACCAAATTAAATGTTACCGTATAATGACGGTGACGCAAAGAAAAAACTTGACGGAGATTATCGATATAGGTGTAATCTCTATCATCAACTGCGAGCACATTCACAATTTGTTACAACCATGTCCGCTAAAGTTTTAACAAAAGGACTCCCCACCCCTGTGTCATATAAAACGGACAAAGGGAGTGACTGGTAGGGTAGACATTTTTTCTTCGTGTCTCCTGTTATCATGGACCTTGTATTTTCACTTCCACCACTGTAACAGTCCCCTCTACATTCTGCCGTCTCAAAACCTTCAGGTGCAAGTATGAAATCTCCCCACCCTACATCCGTAAAGTTAAAATAAATAGGCTCGCGGCAGCACTTCCCTTTGGCGGATGAACCTGAACATAAAGGGGTTTGCGATTCTCTAGAACGTTGTGCAGTTCGTTTCACACGACTTGCTGCAGATTCTCTAAATGCCACAAGAACTATAAAGGGTCGACTTTTATTTAGTTTAGATTTTCTTAAAGATTTCCCTTTACGGTGTTTTTTTAAATGGCGACGACGACGTCGCGATCCGTGAACTAAGATTATTTCGGCGTTTTTACGACATCGTCTGCATTTGATATGTAATAGCAACGAGGACTGGGATTGGTCTATCATCGTCTGAATCAAGGAACTAGGTAGCGTTACATTGAACCATTTGCTTTTAGTAACCCGCGTCTTTACCATAGCAACCTTCTTGTCGGGTTTTCCGGACTCATCCACCGTAGACACGGTTAAAGAAATAGGCTTTTCTCGACGTCTGCGCCTTTTCTTGGTTTTTGGAGTCGTACCATCGCCCATGGAGTCTGTGAGAGGCTTTTTGTTGGTACGAAAGGACTTTGACTTTCGTTTCCTTTTCACCTTGATCAAGAGGTTGGCACTTTTAATCTTCATTTTTCCTGCCTCTTCAGACGACTCATCACTGAACACAAATTGAGGCTGGAACTTGATAATATTTTTGTTGGTATAGTTCTCTGAAAAGACAAAAAAGAAAGGAACTGAGTATTAGAAGCCCATAGCTATTGTTTAATCAAGGCATCGATTATATTGCGAGTTCAGTAATGCGCGATTTTGATTGGTGGAGTCCAAATCAGCCTTTCGATCAAACCTGGGTCCACTTTTTATACTTGGTACATTTAATCGTGTGTATCTAGCACTAATTTCTTTCACATTCATTTAATATATCAAATCTTTGTTTAAAAATTCGTAAAAATCGTTTAAAATCACCCAAAATCATCTAATTTGTTCTTGTGTCCAGTTTAAAGCTGATTAATTTTGATAATTTCCAGTTCCGATTGATAGGTTGATGACCTGACTGTCTTCAGAGCAAGACGAAGTAAACAGCAAAAATAAAAATAAAACAACTGTGTGTATAATTTTAATTAGACTAATATTTGGTTTTCAAAGTCTTGGTTTACCGATGCTGAAAATACATTTGTTTCGTTTTCAGAGACATCATGCTATTTGGAGGATAACGGTTCTATGAAGTATACTTTTAGCACGCAAAGCAGTAAATTAGAACGAGGAAGATAATCGCCAACAAGATCGATATAATTTCATCTCCAGCATAGAAACAATTTTTCATAAGTTCAACTAACTTACTTATCATTATGACATAACTTAAACCAGAAATAAAAAACAACAACAAATAGAACATATTTTGTGAAAGAGAAATACTAAATTACTTCAATCAAAAACAATATTCAGAACATTTACTAGATCTTTTGATGTATACTTAAAAACATCGTATAGATAAGGCCTGACATCACTAGTTATTATTAAAGATGGGATTTAACGTCTACGTAACAAAATTGTCCAGGTTTGGTATCTCATTAGCAGTTGGTGGGATGGTATCGGAAAACCGGGTCGCTTGTATGGAATCTGAGTGAAACCTCAGGCGCAAAATATAAGTTGTCAATGAAAAACAAAATTTAACAGTTTTTCGAGCAAAATGCACACAATGATGCAAAGTTGTACCTAGAGCTTTCTGTCGAAAGCGCAAACTATTTCAATGTAGAATTTCTAAAGGAGAATGCACCAAAAAAAAAGCATGCTTGAATTAATCTCTAAAGGTAGAATTAACAAATTGTAACAGCAACACGGGTTGACCATCAGCAGCAAACTCAACGCTTCCCAAACCCCCAATAGGTTTATTCGAGACCTATAGTCATTCGATCACTTCGGACCCAATGTCGTTTGGTTCGGGGCTTCCTGCACAGCTTCTTCCCTCGCTGGGCCACCATTATAAAACCTTGCCTTCTCATACTGCGACCTCCCAATGGAGCCACTGTGAACAATGGAAATATCAATATCAAGCACATCGGATGACCACTTTTCTCGCTTGTGCATACACAAAAGTCAAGGTCGCTATAAAAGTATGGCACTGTCCACATGCTGTCATTGTCTACGAGGGGTTCACATGGCTAAGTGGGTAAGACGCTAGCTCGCTAGCCTGGAGGTCGGGTGTTCGATCCCTGCATTGGCCGAGAAAGTTCATCCAGATTTTCCGGCGTGGTTCTCCCTTGTCAGTGATGCAGGACGGAGGGGCTGACCAGGAAAGCTGTCTAGTCGTTCGGATGGGAAGAAAAACCGAGATCCCGTGTACACATTGGCGTGCACGTAAAAGATCCCTTGACAGTTGTAATTCGATATAAGAGTAGGCCGTAGTGCCGCTGTCCGGGCAAAATTTCCCTCATAGCACACTGTATGGCGTATGCCCGTCTTCATTAGCCCAGGTTAGGAGCAGAAACGTAGGACGTTAAACTCCATTTCATTTCATTTCATTTCATTGTCTACGATATCACCTTAGGTGGAAGTGGACGTAAAACTCTAGAAACGAACGAACGAACATGCTGTCACATACAGTCGTTGGATAAACAAATGCCTGGGTTAATTACCACCCCCTCCTTTACCTATACCATTATAAATTACTGGTAATACTATTAATATTATGATTTTACTTGTAAGCATACGTATATTGAACTGACCTGATGCCGTGGACAATACTAATAACTTTGTTACGTTGAATTTAATAGGTGTCGGGGAGATCGTGACATTTTCACGTTTCTTTGTATCTAAGGTTCTCTCCTCCTTTCTGGCAGGTCGAGGAGTAGGTATTTCTGACAAACCCAGTTTAGCAAGGATCTGATGTTTTATTTTCAGCTTGTATAAGTGTTTAGTAAAATCATCCATGTTGAACCGACATCTTGGATTATTTGCGCCAGGTCGACATTTTTTATCGGCCTGTGGCGGTGAACAGGATGTGACATCAATGACTGCCAGAACAACCCAAAAGACAAACTGATATTTAAATAACGCTGACATTGCACTTGATTGACACACTGAAATGAGATAGAATTTACAAGTTACTAGTATACAAAACGATTTATTTCGTATGTAAAATGAATTTTTTAATATGTAAAATGAAATAGTTAAATATCCAAAACAACCTATCCTTTAACTGACGTCATCAAAAATATACACTCTTTAGAATAAATGTTTTCTTGTGTCTTAACAGTTTAAAATAGATTAATGAAATATAATTCACTTATACAAAGCGTGTGTTATAGCCTCGCCTGGACTATACACTCTTGCGCAAACATAAGTAAACAATTTTTATCGATAACGATCTGGGCAACAGCAACATGTACGATGTACACCCACGTTCACAAAAAAATGACTTGCACATCTCTATCGCACAGACTAATCCGTATTTCTAACGACCGTATAATTTAGTATGATATGTGAACAGTATTTAAGAGACAAGTACGATCGTACTATATGGACCATGAACCGGACATGACGTCATTGCCATCAGGATGGAATCGATGCGCAATTGTCCAAAGAAAAGGCATACCAAGTTTCATGTCGAACGTATTTATACTGACGGAGTCTTAGACTTTCATCGAAGAGTGTCGCCCCGAAGAAGAAAAACAACAACACCAAGATGATGAGTAGCGTTTAAGGTACAGTTACTGGTCCAAAACTATAATTTGTTCAGGGTCTTCAAATGATCATTCTGAGTTTGAAGTTCGTGATAAAAACGAAATGCAATGAAATTATACCCATCTATATCTGGGTCATCTGGAGATTTATATATAACAATTTGTATTTACTATGCGAGATATTCGGGAAGTTTTACTTGTCATCTGGGTTCAATGACCATGGCTTGTGAGATCGGATATGATAAGGATTATGGTGCTTATGTTAAAATGACTAATATAGGAATGACATTTTAAGTACCTTTAAAATTCAGAGCGCGTTCCAGAAATTGTTACAGACACCAATAGATTAGCAATGCTGAATCTATTTGTAAATATCTTCACTAAAAATGCAAAGAATTTAATTTAACAATCCCAACATGTAATTGAGAACAAAAATATAGTGGTTAAATCATTAAAATTTATTTATTTCAAATTCTGTAAATTTCAAGCATTCCAGTTTGATATTAGTACCTCTATTTCATGAATGTTGATATGTACCATGCACCGGCGGAATAGATATGTCTTGCAATATCTCGGCACTTCTTTGGCTAGGATTATTGTAAAACGTATTAGCAAGGTATTTGCTGACAGTGTGACGTAAAAGTAATACTTGGCAACTATTTACCTCAAGGTCGGTTAGTCTATTAACTAACATAAAAAAAATTTGATGATGACGATGCTTTATTTTAAGGAATGGATTTTGTATTATTCGGATACTATTAACTGCACTACTTGCAGCGTACTATTAACACTCTTTGGTTGTTACTATGTGAGACAAGATGTGGCAACTATCTACTTTAATGTCGGTTGGTATAACTAACTAACTACAGTTACTTTATTTTAAAGATGCCTCGTCATGTTTAAACAGTGTGATTTGATGATATATTTGAACTAAAAACGTATCAAACGGGTGCTTCAAATCCCTCTCAAAACCGTAGAAATTTATTTTAAGTATCCTTGTTAGTCACGTGTCTTGATTGAGCGAGGGCCCATTTCAGATTGCATTTGTCGATTTACCATACACGTCGAAGCCTAAGTAAATTATCCTCAGCCAATTTCTTTATCTGTCGTTTAATCACAGAGTATGTTGTACGTTCAAGTCTATCATAACCGCTAACCATTCAAACAAGAAATACCAAGCACCCCCTACGTCAATCGAGCAGACAACAAGCCGATGGGCTGTCAGTTACATTTTGTCCTGTGCTGGCCCTATGTGTGTTTTTCAGGGAATCCAGCATTTTTTTTAGTAAGATTGGGTGTCTCGATTTTCTACAGTTGCAACTCAACGTTTAAAGTCCCTTATTTAACTTATAACATATTTTCCAGTAGACACCTTGCTGCCAATAACTAGTAAATATTTCAAATGTTTGTAAAACGAGTTACTTAATATTTAACAAGCCGAATACCGAAAATTATTATTATTTGTTTCATGTTGTTTTAAATTGAATTATATTATTCGTTAAGGTTCACTTAGTACACACTTCCCAGAAAACACTTTGCCAGTACTTAGTTATAACTTTCAAAAACGTATTACTTTAAACACCCTTTATTACAACCCATATGCTGATAATAAAATATTTGTTTCTCTGTAATTACTTTACCTTCCAGCTACATTTTTGTAGACTAGATGTAATTGCATGCTTTGTGATTGTATTTAAATGTTGAACGCTTCTCTTATTTTAAAGGAGACCGTAATCTATTGCAGAATATCTAGTATTTACATAGTTTCGAATATTCAAAACCTGAAATGCAAACTGTTTTGAGTCGCGTAGTATATATGACGTCACGTCTCGAAAGGAACCGTCAGACACTGTAAATAAATAAACCAGCACCACGAACGATAATAGTAGGTATCGTCATCTCCCCACAAAGCAGCCAAATTCAAAGTCATAAATAACAAAAAGACAAACTAATGTAATAACACGTACACTTTACCAGAGAAATATGTCTAATGGTACGTGAAGGAGAGAGAGAGAGAGAGAGAGAGAGAGAGAGAGAGAGATGGGGTTTAACGTCCACACGACACAAACTAGGTCATTTCGGGACTAACATATGGTTTAATTTTATTTACATAATTCGCTTGCGCGTGGGGGTCTTTAGCAGTGGGAGGAAACCGGTTGGACAGGCGACCCTACTCCTTGCCACGTACAACCGGGGATTCGAAACCACACGTGAAGGAGAACAGCACCACAGTTAATAAGGTAATGGCAGTGTCCATGGCAAGATAACATCCTTCTATCCGTGGACCTTCCTTAGGTACTAAGTGCAACTATGTAACACGTGCCATTGGTTTGTTATTTATAGATCGATGGTCCCTGTCATGACGCCATATGGAGTGTTTTAGTTATTTTAAAAATCTAAAAAATCCGGGAAGAACGCAGTTTCCCCTGTCAGTTATAAAAGGTAAAAGTCATTCAAATGGAATTTCTGCAATGACTGGGTCAGTGAAGACGGACGTACGCCATACAGTATGCTACGAGGGAAATTTTTGCCGGAGAGCGGAACTACGGCCTGCTCATATCGAATTTCAACTAGGCAATGTGAAACCGCACCCGAAATCCGAGAAGCTTTCTCGACCAACAGTGAACCCGAGGTCTCCCTGTTCGCCAGCCAGGGTGTTACCCACTAAGCCATCGCTGCTCCCCAAATGAAATGAATGGAATGGACTTTAAAACAATAACCATAAGACATGGTATATTGCTATCTGTGGTTATACCTGTAATCATCTGGGAAATACAATGGAGAATTTTGCCAGCGCTGCAACTGATATGCGCTACTTACACACGGAATGGCTTGTCCACCATGTCCCGAAGACGAACGAAATCAAATAAATAAATTCATTATGACTAACACCAATAAAGATCACGTTCTTATAATTTCGTGCACTGTGCGTGTGGCCAGAAGAACTGGGTTTTAAAAAATCCCATAAGTGAACTCGGGTTGGCGCGTGGATTCGAACCTGTGATGTTTTGGTGTTGTTATACATTTTGTAAAAGTTAAAGAACATTGCCAACTATGTAACATAACGCAACACTTGGCAGAATCATCTACTTCTGTATCTATCAGGTCGTTAAGTTCATCATTATAAAAAAGTTAGTGGGTATACTATTATCTAATACTTACATGACAAATAGTGTGCTAAATTATCCACTGTCTGTGCCAGAAGATTTACAAATTGAAATTGAGATTGCGAACATAAACTATATACATATATATCTAATACCAACTTACCGAAACATATCTTTACCTAAAGGCGATCTAGAAAAATGCTTTGTCATGATTGATTCTAAGGGGTTTGGCTTAATATTGCATAAAACGTATTTTTATTCTTTTTCGGAATGATCTGTCATATGGCCCAACCTTAAAGCTCGAGATACCTCTTTCTTAATATAAATCTTAGTTGACAGTATTCCAACTGTCTATCAATGTACTATGACCAGCACTAAAAGGATTGGGGGTTGAGGGGTAGTGGTCTATATATAGATCAGAAGGTCTGTCATTGGGTCCTTTGGTTCAGGGTCCGGGCCCTGGGAGAAACATCCCTGCGAGGATTGGGTTCTGCCCCTGGGCTCCAAATATTTGAAAGATACATGTTCTCTAGCATCATTGTGGCATATGTCTGGGGTGACTTTGCTAAACACAGAAAATGAGAGTTAACAGAACATATGACACACCAAATACGATTTAGTTTAACTGATGTAGAAATACTCAAATGAAAGTATGGCCGAAAGGATAAAAAGCTTCTCCCGGACATTAGTCGAAAAATAATCCGCAATTGGCAAACATATTGAAAAACGAAGACGAAAGTAAAAGTTTCACTTTCAGTTTCCTTAGCAAACATATTGAAAAACGAAGACGAAAGTAAACGTTTCACTTTCAGTTTCCTTTCTAATGATCGGATACCAGTCAGCCTACCTAGAGCGATGGATAACCGCAGGCATGACCATCATAGTGTTCTACAGGCCACGACTAGGCCCCGATTACCCGCCGGGACATGAATACCCTGACGGTGACGAGACCCTCAAACGGCCCAAAAGCCCGGGAAGGTGGCTTATAGTTTTTAATTCACCAAATTTTCCAAAAAAGTGGACCGACAGAATCCGATTCTAATCCTACCCACGCCACTAAGTACACACATTCAGAAAAATCGTCGTTTTTTTCTACTTTACCATCAAGTAACAGTGTATTTTTTTTTTATTAATTTATGTCAACAAATTTTTTAAAAACATTACTTGGCATACCTCTAGGCTCCGGGCCCCTGGACAAGTGTCCCAGCTGTCCCCCCTCTCCTGGGCCCTGCTTCGGTTTCTTCCCATTGCTAATGACCCTACGCGCAAGCGAATTATTGAAATAAAAGTGTACCATGTTAAACCCCACCTTTCTCTCTCGCTAATTTAGAATTATTTACGTTTAACCTATTCACACTTTAAAACGCTATAATATGCGAGTATAACTCGCGAATACCCTTACTTCACCGTGCTACAGTATAGGGTGTGCTTAGGTTTTACGTCTCTGACTTTAAGAATACTATAATGATAAAAGTAGACTTATCCTACTCTCACTCTAAAGGGGCATTTATACTGAGCGCGAACGTGATCGCGACCTCTGTGATTTTCCGCGCGAATAATCGTTCGTACTGAAAGCGACGATACGCACGGAAATTCACAGATGAAAGTGGTGCATTTTCGATTTGACCATATCCCGCTATACATCATTAGACACGTCACATGTATAACTTTCGACCTCACACTCTGACTGGCTAATGAAAATCTTTCGCGCCAACTATTCTCAAAAATTCGCTCTGGGGCCAATCTCTGCGGTTTTCCGCGTTCGGGTTCGCCATCAGTATAAACGACTTCATTTAAATAGCAGTTAATGTACGCGTGCCGAGCTATTAGGCGAGTCATTGACATTGCGCTCAGCAGAAAAATAAAGGGAGTTCGGTGACTTTACCACACGTCAACCCGATATTTCCAAGAACTTAGTTGTACTAATTAATAAAAGTAATTGCACTGTACTTATATTTTTACGATTATTTAACAATTTCATAAACGTATGTATATATAAAATGTAATGAATGGGTATCGTACAGAAAACACACATAAATATCTACCGTGATCCTGCGCATGCTTTTTTGGATGGTTTTGGGTGTTGTTGTTCTTTTTTGTTTAGGAGGGAAGGGGGATAGTTGAGTGGTTATTCTTTGTTCATATTTTCCTAATTAAACCCTCTCCCATTCCATTAAATTCTGTGTTCATAATAATTTTGCCAATTAAACCCCATTCCATTTCATTCTTTGCTCATGTCCTTCTATATAACTTTTTTTTTGAATTGTCAGATATCCTCTCATTGTCTCATATAACAACTTTTCGTCTTCAACTGAATTATCAGTGAAATGAAATTCGATCGTTTGTCTGTTATCGCTCGTTACTTCAGTCAGTTATATAGAAGGACAACTCGTGTTTGCCATGTTTGACGTCACTTCCCGTTTCTTCACGTGCTTGTTACACATCTCCCGTAGCAATGATCTCTGTGTTAAAATTATATTTGGGATGTATTTAATGAGCTCTATCACATATTTTATAATGACTGACACCAATATTGTCCTTTAAATTTTAAATATAAAGAGTTAGCATATTTGACATATTTTATTTTAGTCACGATACAAGCAATTTATTCTGACACGACCAATCTGTGGTCAATCTGTGTAATTTATCAACTTAAATAAAAGGAAGTAAAAAAACTCTTTGACGACTCGAATTAATTATCTTCATTCAACATGTATTCTTGGCTGTAGTGCGGTATACGTCGTTGTTTAGCAAGTCTTGACATTCGTGTGTTTACGATATGTAGACAATTCATTTTACTAACATGAATGAAAAAGAGGTGCAATATACTTTTGCTGTGCCAAGTAGGCTAATGAAGACGGGCATTCGCCACAGCCTGCGATGTACTATTTGGGAATTTGGGCCCGGACAGCAATTTATGTAACATCCAAAGGACTATGAGTTGTCCCTTGCCATTGGAAAATCCTGGGCATTTGTCACGACCAAAACCCTAATCGAACCCCCCCCCCCCCCTTCCTCCCAGGTTAGCTAGCTAGTGCCCTGCCTAGTGAACTACTGTAGCTCCAAGATGTGCGATCCTTTGGCTATGATTGTAATATGCAATATGTACATATTGCTATAAAAATGGATTGGGAACTGACTGGCATTGGTAGAATATATCTCGTTCAACTAGAAATCAGAAAAAGGGGAAGGGTCCTAACCACTAGAAAACTGAACGATCTGATCAAGAATGTTCGATAAGAACGTCATTCATCTAGTCCCTCGCAAGACAGGCTAAGCTCACTCAGTATTCGTTCCGAAAGGTTGATTGTCCGAGAGCGCTATACATTGCAACCCATTCTCTTTTGAAGTAATTCTATCGAACACTCATGTTTGGGAAACTAACAAGGGTTTGTATACTTTAGGCTTAATTGTTGAAGCAAATGCCCGCTTTAATATGAAATATTACGTCATATACTTGAATGTATATTATGCAATCTGAATACTATTGCAAAAAAATGTAATTCAATTTGACTACACCGATACACCAAGGATGTTAAAATTAGATAGAATGCAAAATTGGAGACAAGAGTTGCCAAGTCATCGCTTACTATTCATACAAATGTTTCGAGTGACAATCATAGAGTTTAACGAATGCGCTCTAAAAAAAATGTTGTCTGAATTGAAATGGGGTTTAACGTTATACTTTTCTTTTCTGCTCCGACTGGGCTAATGAAGACGGGCGTACGCTATGTGTGCTATGAGGAAATTTTGCCACGGCCTACTCTTAGATCGAATTCCAAATGTCAAGGGTTCTTTCACGTGCACGCCGACTCGGACTTCCGTCCACCCGAACGACTAAACACTGTCCGTGTCAGCCCCCCCCCCCCCTTCCCCCCGTGCTACAGCGACTGATTTGTATAAACCACACTGAAATTCCCGTCGCCCAACACCATCATCTAACCCCGGACCTCTTGGTAAGTCAACTTGCAGCGCCTTACTCACTTATTGTAACTATGTCAATGTTTGGATTTTCGATATTAAGATATGTCTGGAGTTATTATGAATATGATTTTATTTTTAAAAATATAAAATTATTTTCTTGGACTATGTGACAAAGTATCTTTAATGAAGTAAGTAAAAAGTCTTTTTATATATACTTTGTATTGTCAGTAATAAGTAAGAAAAAAACCAATAGTCCTACTTTACAACAGTTACATCTAACCACAAAAAACAATATTACAATAGCGCCGTGGAATGATAGAAATGAAGGTATCTCTTAGAATAGTATAAAAATAGTATTTTACCTGTCTGTTTCCGTGATAAAAGATGGCCGTATCAGCTGTCGGTGATTATACCTAAATTACACAACAAACACTTCTACACACGTGATCGGCTAGTTTCATTCACTGCGAGTGTCTGTCTTACGGGAATATATCAACTTCTATTAATTCATGTTCTACAAACATTTCTGACGTCATCAAAGCTCCATTATACGTAGAAACTCGACGTGAAAGTGTTAACTTCATTGACTTCGTCCGTTCAACTTTTAACTTGCACAATAATGGTGATCTTCCTTTCGCGTAGAATGTCAAAGTTGAAACTGTTTAACTACTTTTCGGCGTCCAGGTTTGACAAACACGGTGACAGAATTAAATTTACGTAGAATGTCAAAGTTTAATTTATTAAATTCTGTCAATTAAAGTTGGACAAACACCATGAGAATATAAGTTACGCGCAGAATGTCTGTTAACTTCTCCGGACGAACGCGCTATATGCCTTTACTAATTTACTTTGACTTGTCAATCAACGAACGAATTTCCGAACCTTGCCAATGAAAGTTTCAGAAATTTGACACTAACCTTAGAAGAGTCAGCATTCAAAGGTTTACCAATCTAATTAAGTTTCTTCAGTTAAAATCAAATCACACCCGAACAAATCAAGACGAAGGTAGCCAATGATAAAAACCGGTTATTGAATGAAATGGCAAACTTTATCCAACTGATATTAAGAAGATCCTTTGTTTATATTTCACCAGTGCCGATAGCAGATTCCTTTGTTGAAATACGATGTTTCAAAACTATGCGCTATTTATCTCTACCCGGCTGTCTCGTTTTCAAAACTTAAAATAAGTTCGGCTAAATCCGATTGGTTACTCTCCAATCAATATCGATCACCAGTGCCAATCAGAATGCAAAGTACAATTAGTCAGATAAGTTGCTGACGATGCGAAATGTCGTTAAATCAATGTTAATCACTCAGATTATCCAATTATATTAATGCGATACCGTGTTTATTCGACACAAAACAAGTGAAGTACGATATCATTGATTTTGCTGATTGACCATAAATCCACAATAAAAAGCACGGAATCGGAAACCAGCTAATCAATAATTACTTAATGATAAGAAAGGTCATTTAGAAAATCCATTTGGTGCTCAACTGTCGTGTTTTAACCCTAAAATCCATTTGGTACTGATTTAAACGTGAACTCCAACACTCCGTTTAATGGCACAGGTTATAGCCAGTGCTAAAGAGTCACGGCGATGAAAAACAAAATTAAACGCATTTTCCGCGAGTTGCTGTGTAAGTAAAATATATGGATGCCAAATTCTCATTGTAACAAAACGTTTACGTATTCCATATAGCTTTGTATGTCCGTTGATAAGAATTACACTTTCCAACTACTGTAACGAAAACTCTTACAGAGGGAATCAAAGTTTATCAAAAGTTGCTATGGAGTGTCACGAGAGCAACTACTAACTAAAAATAATGTATCAAGAAATTTTCCAAGAATATAAATGTTAGTAGTGCCGGGTGGAAGAAGTTGTGAAGTGTTAACATCAGTGTAAGTTATCGCTTAGATAAGTCTCAGACTAAAAACGTGTTAACTACAGACACAATCTTTCATTGTAAATACATATATATGTACACAAGCAGACACAGATATAAAGCCACACCGTCTGCTGGACCACTTAAAGTAATAAACGTCTGGATGTTCGAGATAAGTAGCCTATATAGTGGAATAACCGTTATTTTAAACAGCCGTGGGTCACCATCAATAGGGCAAACGTGACGCTTTGTCATCGCGATGCAGGAGAGATTTTATCGAGATTTATAGTGTGCATTATAAAACAATGATTGATCCTTACTTATAATGACATATATTACATGAACTACCACGAAACCGGGCCCCGGGCTGTTTTTTTTTCATAATCGCATCCTTTATGAGCGACAGATTAGCCGATATTTACCTTGTAAACAAACTCATGCGTTGCATTATTTCTGGTGCATAGGGCGCAGGATAAAATACAAAAGCACGATAAAAAATAATATTGTGAACTTCTTAAATAAATGAGAAGAGACATCGGGTGTTTAAGAAAATATAAGCATACTCCGCCTCGGGTACAACACCTGTAACTAATTCTGGTTAATTATGACGACATTTTGGATTTAAACTAATTGACCGACTAATAAACTATAACACATACTAATGGGCAACAGCTACTGATTTATTTAGGCGATATCCCGAAGAGTATTCCCTCAACGTTATCAAACTAATACAATATCACAAAATGTGAAGAAACTATATATAATAGACAACAATACAACACAACTTAAACCATACATGGCAACAAGAAGATCAAAGGCCTATGACACAATAGGGTTATCATATATATAGTTGCTTCACATTTTGTTATATTGTATTAGCTTGATCGTAGGCCGGTGAGAATAGTGGCGGTGGGGAGGTGCCGGGGGACGCCGGCGACACGCACCCCGAATATCAGCCCAAAAATGATTCAAATAAGTTCAGTTTTTACAAAGACATCATGAATTGAACACTTTGCAGTATTCGTCATTCTCTGTAGAAGATATAAATAATCCGGCGCCACCTATACGTGTTGGGTAAAATATTTTGTTAAATAATCAATGTTTAGAGTATATTTTAACTTGGATTAAGCCGGAAATGAGATATTGTTTGAAAAATGACAATAGGCTGCTTTGAATATAAAACGACTTGTGATAGACAAAATAGTTTTGAATGTTGTGATAAACAAAATAGTTTTGAATGTTTTAATGTTTTCTGGAAGGATACAGATAATCCGACCTTCGAACTACAAGGTCACAAAATGCTCTTTCGTAAAGCGATTTCCAACATATGGCAGCCACGAGTCAAAGTCTTTTGTGCAGACCATATCAATGGGTTACGAAGCGACGTTTCAAAGTGTGATCGTTATAGCGAAAACGTGTGTCGACTGGGGCAATATTTTAGGTGGATTTGTATCTGAAGTTAGTCAGAAACACGTATTTTGTATTTATTGGTAACTAAAGAGCTTTTTTACTGTTTCGTTTACTTTGGGATGTAATTGTCGGGCTTCGCATTCAGATATGCTGGAAGTAATTTGAACATTAACAAGGAACAAGGGTCATCCATATGGCTTGTATCAAAAAATCGTTTATCGATTCTTCATGGGATTCAAACCCGGAAGTAACAGATTCATGGACCAATTTCCCTCTGTATTCATCGACCGAACAAATAAATTGGGTGCCCTCTGAAAAACTAGGTGACCTATTGATTACCTAACCAAACGCCCTCTCCTTTCGTTCTTCAAACGGTTTAAATACTCCGACAAGATCAAAGAGTCGTCCGCAAATGTCAAGGTTACTTCCCACGTCACACATATTAAAGTGACGGGTATTATAAAATGGTCGTAAGAGCCTTCCACAGCAATTGTTTTTCGTAAACTATTTCATAAAAGTGAAGCACAATTGATCCGAAACCAGTATATGAATTTGGCGAAATCGAAATCGAGTAAAGTTCCTGCCTTATTTTCTGGATCATTTCATGAAACATATCTGCAGCAAACAATCTTAATTTTGTTTATGTTTTGCTGATTTATCCCATCCTAGTTCAATTTAAAACACAGTCAGATCAGGGACCGAAAACAGAAATTTAAAATCTTAATTTTCACCACGCCTTTTCACCCCGTGCTGCAGCACCGTAAGCGCGATATTCTTATCCTCTCGTCGCTGTTCTTATGAAAAGTTAATTTGAAGTTTTATTTCTCATTCGTTTGGGAAACTATAGCTGGATGAATTTGACAAAGACTTTCATAGAAACATACTCAAAGCATTAGCGGTAGCGAAAGTTTGGGTTAGTCCCCGAGTCGAGAAAACGACCCTTTCGGACCATTCAAATTTCAGAGATATTTACACATCGTTCATGAGAGGAACTTGATGAAGCTCTTTGGAAACCAGCCGGAGTCGAACTTGTTAGCTTAGTTGCCAGGGACCCCTCTTAGGTTGAAGGGTGGTCGAGTGGCAGAGTAATCAAATGATCAACGCGTGCGCTTTATATCACAAGGCCTTCCGGTCCGGGTGCTACGGCCCCCCACACACTGTTAAAAGACCCCTACGCGCAATCGAATTTTTGAAATAAAATTGAACCACATGTTTTTCCGGATATGACTCAATTTGTGTCAAATGGACGTTAAAAACCCATTTCTCTCTTTTCTGTCTCGCGTAGAAGTTTAGAATTAGCTACATGACATGTTTTCTATACAGCAGCACGTGCGGCTATCTCACCTAACTGTCCACATTAAACAAACAATTGTTATTCTGTGTCTCGCTTAGGTATTTATTATAGCGAGTGAGTTAAATTTAATGATGTGTGGGAATCATTCTGAGCGAGAAAGCGACCAAGACCACAAGCGAGGTGCTCGTATTTGATTGATTATCTACAGAGGCGGCGCCCCCCCCCCCCCTAATTTTCGACAGTGCCCTTTTACTGCTGAAAGTGCCCTTTCTCAGACCCAAATATGTCCGTTCCCAACCCGTTGCAGGGATCCCAAATGACTCAAACCATCGATTCAAACACACCAGTCTGGTCTAATTAATGCTTCCACTTGCAAACGAATTCTTGTTGTTTAGCTTACGGTGCCCTAATCCTATAGAGTGACTATAGACAGACATCTTGTGGAATGGGCGGCGTATACACTCATGCCTATCACCGACGCGCATGAGTGTAACTTGATGTAGCATTGTTTCTCGGTGGACAGTGAAGTGATTTTAAGGCTCTTTTTCAACGATTTCCGAACGTTTACTTAGACGAAAGTATGGCTACAGATGCAAGGAAATGACGGATAATTTTCTTGGGGGACCCCCCCCCCCCCCTCCTAAGAAAAAAAAATCCCCTCTCAGCGGCGTGCCCCGTCTCCGCGGTCAGTGCCCTCATTTTGCGGCGCCCCCCCTTTTCAAAATTCCTTGATCCGCCCCTGATCTACTATTCGAATTAAGTCGTTTATACTGAACGCGGCCGAATTTTTGATCGCGCGGAAAACAACGGAGATCGCCCGCCAGAGCGAATTTTTTGGAACAGTTCAAGCGAACGATTTGATTAGCCAATCAGATGGCGAGTACAAAGGCATGCTGATAAAAATTGTCATTTCGTCAGTTTCATCTGCGAATGTATGCACTTATTGTCGATGATTTGCGTGAAACGTCGCAGTGATCAATGGTCACATTGATGATGGTGGTCGCGTTCGCGCTCAGTTTAAATGAACCTTTGGAGACGGATTATAGAAACATAAAAGGGGGTAACTTGATAATAAGGTGGGTTCTCAACCTTTACTTATCAACTGATTACCGTTTTAAGGAAGTTTCCTAACAATTGAGGCGGTTTACCCCTTTTTTATCTGGCCCAACCGGTATAATAAAGAAAGGCGTGCACCATGCAGTATGCGATGAAGGAAATTGTGTCCGGACTGGGTCGTTTCCGCCTAATCCTCTTCTAAATCTAACTACCAAAGCTTATAATTCACGTTTATGCCCACGTACACAGCATCTCGATTTTTATCACCATCCGAACCGTATATTAGTGAACGCTGTTTTTTCTGACAGTTTTGATTTCTCCCACGTGTGTCAAATGTCCGATAAATCTTGCTAATTCTGTTAAAATACCATTTTCTTCCGGGGATTTATTATTCAATCGAAATAAATGAGTTGTGTCCGTGTTATTGCAAGGACAACCCTGATACGACGCACGCAGGTTTTCTGTTCGTCGAAGTCATTTTACTTTCGTTTGTTTGTTTACAAGCTGAGTTTCAGGTAGAAAAAGTAGTGCGTTGACCTCATGACCTGTGACGTTTAGAT